TTTTCTATTTCTAATTTCAATGCTACATGATGACTCTGGATTTGAAGAATTGAAAGTTCCATTTGTTTCTTTCATTCTCCATTTTCTGCATGTCCAATAGCATGCGGGCAAAAGTTTGATTAGATAATCATTTCCAAAATATGGCATTTCCTGTAGTTTGCTGTGCAAATTTAGGAAATGATCTGGGAGATGATAATAACTATGTACACGTATATCAGCCCTTTCTGTTTGTTTGTTATAATCGATCTACGGGTTTGGTTCTGAGATGAAAGGACTAATTCTAATAGTTTATGTGGGGGAAAAACTATTGTTAACTTATCCCCCCAAACAAAGTTGAACTAATCTGATTTCTGAAAGCAAGTATATGGATTAAGAAACATAAGCAAAGAGAAAAATTAGCGGTGAGACTCTTTCGACGGTAGATAATGGACTCTCTAAAAGGAAACTCGATCGACTGTAGTTGGGACTCTGTTGGTAAGTTTTAAGTCAGGATACTGATTATTCAGTGGCGATTATGTGGAGACTGGAGAACAGTGATTCAACTCACAAATGCAGGAAAATGAAGTGGGTTTGTGTCTTGAGATCGCATGAGGGTTCGACTAGTGCAATCATTGAGTGCCATCATATTGGAAAGGTGATGATGATAGAACAAACAAAGGAGAGGAAAGGTGAAGAAAAGACTGCACAATTAAAGAGGGTGGAATATGCAAAGGAGAAGCTCTTACGGGACTATCTGTTATATCTACTGAAAAATTCCTCAGCACCACAATCTCAACCAAGAAAGAATTTATCCTTTGGCACAAGCAGTTGTTGGAATGAATCATTCAACTGAAAGGCAAAGAAACGATGCAATCAAATAGAAAGCAAACTACATTTTAAGACAGCCGCCACAATGAATTGCTCATGTTTAAAAATATAGCAAAATAATTTGCTGCAAGCTAGACAATCATTCAACGGTATACTAAAGAGAATAAATCATTCAACAGCTTAAGAAGAGCCGTTGAATATGTTGAATAAAGCTTCAAAATTCAGGCATTGCATTCAGATTTGCACATTGTTAGACACTACTATACATAAGCTCCAAATAAGAGTAATTTGTAATCTTTTTAGCCGTTCAAACATCTCTTACTAAGCTTCTAGACAACCCAATGCTGAATTTTAAAAATGTGACGACAAGGATAAACCTAGATAATGACATATACATGTGAAGACTAATCAAAGGTTCCAATACATTAGTGCAGAATATACATACTCCTTGAGTGGTCCATCCACCTCATTGGATGGGAAACATGCCATCCTCATCATCATCATCCATTTCCAGATATTTGAAGTTAACAGCATCCCATCCATTACCTTTGTAATTAAAACCTGGGCTCACATAGCACTTCATCTCATGAAACAGGTTCAAATTATCCACGAGCTTATGAAATGCATTGCATCCACAACACTGCAGAACCAGAACAAAAAAAGAATAACCATTAGGAGACTATTTCTTAGTGCAGTTCACCATAATACTCAGTTAAAAGCTTATCTCAAGACCACAATGTTATTTATCTTTTCAAAAACTCCAGAATTACTTGTCCAAAATCATCAGCCAAACAAAATACTCAGTGAAACATCATGAAGTAAAGTTACTTCACAAATTTTGGTACACTCACTTCTCAATTACATTGTTATTTATATATTCATAATAGTCAGTCAATATCGAGCACCATGATTAAATCCTAAGTTATTCTACCTGCACAAAGACAGTTCCATCGGTGTATGCATGGGGGTTAATTGCCCGCGTTGTCCGCTGCCCACAAATGTTACAAGTGAAAGCTACAAGCATCCTACGGCGAGGCGATTTAGTGAAGAGAGACCAGGGAAAAGTGGAGACATTCTCTGTGCTTGAGTGGGTGTGAATCCCAGCAGGAGCAGGAGGCCCTTCCATTCCAGAACCTGTAGTCCACCCTCGTCCTGTCGCCGCACTCATAACCAGTCCCATTGCCGCATCCTAACATTATGTTTTCAATGAATAAAAATTTCATTCAACACAACAAAATATCATCACCAGAAGCACTTTCTATTAACAGACATAACTTTGTAACAAAAAAAATAAAGCATACTCTATTGCTAAAAAGAAAAAAAAGCAGATCAATTTTGCAACAACGTCAAACATCTGACTCAATATTTTGCTTAAATTTCTCCTAGTTACCCAACAAAGGTCAGGTAAAAAAAAGGGAAAAAAAAAAACCAGCTTGCGAAATCTAGATAGAATACCTTGGAGAGTGGTGAGAGGGAGAGATGGCGATTGCTAAGAACTGGAAGGTTTTTTATGTCTTTGGAATCCGAACTTGGATTGGATTCGTTCTCATTTCCTGAAATCGAAATTTAAATTCCCATCAGATAAATGAGATCCATCAAATTAATAATAATTATAAATTTCTTTGTTTGGTTGATGGGAAAATAGAAAATGAATTTGAAATCTTCCGAATGTCGATCAAAGCTTTCAAAATTCTAATGATTTATTGGCAACCAAAAGGAGCAAAAGAGAAAAAATTTACCTTTGGAGGCGAGAGGGAGCTGAACAGGTCGCAGAGGGAGAGTCTTTCTGGGAGAGAAAATGGAAAAGGGAGAAGAGGATGACGTGATCGTAGCAGAAGATGAGCTGATTAGGGCTTCCATGGCGTACAGCAACTGATTCAGAATCAGAATCAGATATGATGATGATGATGATGGTGAAAGTCGTCGTTGAAAAAATATCGCGGGAGTTACGTGGACTGGATGGATTAGCATCATTTAAGCTCCTCTGTCTGGACTTGATCTCGGTACGGGTCGGGTTGCTCCGGTTATGTTAGAAATTTAGGCCCAACTGGCCTCCCTTTTCTTTCTTGGTTGGAGGACCAACCGGCCCACCTTCTCTTTTTTTATTTATTTATTTTTCATTTGATCTCTGTAAGATTCCATATGGACACCCATTAACTTAAATTCAATAGCATTTTTACCAATTGCAAAAAGATTATTTATGTACATGCCTCATGTGCTTTCGAATTTGTCTCAGATTACTACATGTGTTTGCAAACGTCTCAAAGTATCCTCCAACCTTTTAAAAACCGTCTCACGTTACCCGTTCCGTCAGTTTTTTAGCCGTTTTGTTATGAGCGTTGGACCCCACTTTGTTTTAACCTTTAACCTCTTCAAATAAGGGTTTCTCAGTTCTAAGAAAGGGGGAAATTGGAGAAGAGGGCTTAAGGTTTGTGAAAATATGAGGTTGGCCTCCAAATTCTCTAAGCATCTCTGAGTGCATTGCATTCAAGCACATTCCTTTGCTAGGTGCACTTGTTCTTCTCTTTGGGTTTTGGTTTTCCAAGCCCTCACTTTCATTTCATCTCTCTGTCCATTTCTAGAGGCTTAACAAAGCTCTGTGCTTGAATTCCTTGGGCAGCCAAACTTTTTTACCTTTTCTGGTGAGTACTTGGGGTTTTCTGGAATTGTATGAGCTTTGATTGTGAAGTCGGTGATGTGAGCTGTTTTTTAGCTCTTTGTTTACTTCTTCATGAAGCTCCAGCTGCCTTCAATGGCTTCTAATGATAAATTAGTCGTGAATTGAGCTTAGGCTCTATGAATTTCATACTTGAACTTTGATTAAAATCCTAAAGCTCCTGTTTTATTATGTTAGTTAATTTCATATGATTGTTCTTCTCCCGCTTTTTCCAAAATCGAAGCCACCCTTAGATTTTCACAAACCCTAAGCCCTCTTCTCCAATTTCCCCTTTTCTTAGAACTGAGAAACCCTTATTTGAAGAGGTTAAAGGTTAAAACGAAATGGGGCCCAACGCTCGTAACGGAACGGGTAACGTGAGACGATTTTTAAAAGGTTGGGGGGGTACTTTGAGACGTTTGCAAACACATGTGGTAATCTGAGACAAGTTTGAAACCACATGAGCATATACATAAATAAGCCATTGCAAAATGACTAAAAAGGACAAGGGTGGCAGGCTCAGTGGGCAAGGGTGAGGATAAGGCGAGGGCGGGCGGTGCATAAGAGGTGGCTTATTTGTAATTGTAGTTGGGCGTCTAGAGATTTAGTGTCCATTGAATCACCTTTGATATAATTCACTTGTTAAAATATCTAACGTTCGCTAAAGTTGGGGAAAGGAAAGCCATCTCCACTCCATAGCTCATAAAGGAAGCAAGTTGAAACTGACAATTAGGTTTTAAACCATGATTTCTTTCTCTATAGTGATCGGTACTTAAAATGCGTCTGATTTAAACTGTTCTATCATTTCCAGTCTTCTTTTCACCCTAATTTAAGCAGAAAGCGAAAATACAAGAAAAAGAAAACACGAATGTATAGAAAACAACACGATGTATAAGTTAACAAGTAAACAGGAAAATTCTCCAAAAAGTACAACTTCATCCTAATTATGTACAATTATTCATAGGCTTCATAACTCAACAAAACAAATCATCCTGACTGGAGGTGTCTCCTCCATCCTCTGAAGAATCATCAGAGTTGCGCTGGAATGCCATTATTAGCTCTAGAAGTTCCTGACCATCATTTGAGTTCTCGCCGTCGCGCTCTGGGCTTACCCTCTGCCTTTGCAATGAAAACAGTTGCAACATCAAGTCCTCGGGTGAGGATAGGCGGTACATCCATCCCCTAGCCCTGGGTTTCTTCTGGACACAATCGTAAAATTATAATCATTAGCATCATCATAACCATCAAGAAAACTGTCATCATTGTTATCGTCAACATCTCATTCAATCGCTGCCACCTTCACAGTCATCGCTATCATCCTCATCGTCGTCGTCGTCATCATCATAAAAAATATCATCAGAAAAATATTCATCATCATCCTCCTCATCCTCATCCTCATCATCATCATCATCACTAGCATACCATAATATTCGGCCAGGTTTCAGGACCTTTACCAAACAAGTAACAGCAGAGAAATTAGTTCCTCTGCTGCCCAAATAGGTTCTAGCATCTGTATTATGGCCCTATCTGTATCTAATTGTTTATTGTTCACATCATAGTACCAACATTGGCATATATACAGGCGTTTCTAGGACTACCTAGAAGGGTGAGCAACCCAGTGAAGCTGCACCAAATCAGCTTTCTACACCATCCTGCAAAGTCCCAGAACGACCTGTATCTCTATGTAATATTGGGGGTTCAGAAAGAAGGGTAGTCTCCAATGCATATTTAAACAATTGAAGCACTAGACTTACAATCTAAAATGTAAATTCTGTCTTTTGATCATATACAAAAATGAAAAGTACCATGAGTAACCAACAATTCAATGTTTGGCATAATTGAAAATGTTGTGTCCTGACAACACCCCCACTCACATCCCATTTTCTGCTTGCCCTTGAAGAGAAGAAATATAATCTTGCCATGCATCACCACCCAAAACTCGAAGGCGATGGGTGATGCAAGCACCATGTAAAAGAAGGATAAATAAAATTTACTTTTCATAGGTCATGCAAGTTGGTCCATGAAAGAAAATTTAGAACCTTTAAAGAGAGACTTCTCATCAAAGAAATAGCTCAAAATAACAAAGCATACCTTCTCAATGTTCTGAGGCAGAGTAGCTCTCTCATTGGCCTTTGGAGTCCATATCTTGATGTCACTATCGATTCCGCTGCTTGCAAGAACTGTGGTGTGAGGATGAGACTCGATGCAATTTACCACATGCTTATCTGCTTCCATAACACGAATCAGCTCCCCACCCTTTTTCTTCCATATGAATATCCGCGCACAGTCAGACCCGCTCACAACATACTCACATTTAGGACCAAAGAAGTTCACGCCTTTCACGGTCTCACAGTTCCTATGACCCTTGTAAACTTGAGGAGCAGAACTTTCATCAATAGCCATGGTTGATGGAGATGCTTCACTCTGATGATTAGTACTCATTTCACTTGCATCACTTCCCATAGAAACTGGAGAGGTTGGAACTGGATTAGGTCCCAATCCCATACCTCGTTCAAAAAGATAGATGTTCTCATCATTGTATGAGACAAGAAGTTCGCTCTGTTCTGAGAAGGCCAATCCAGTAATTCCAACTCGCCCATCACCAATCAAGTGTGGTGGGCAAAAGAAGTTTGCAGGTTGGCCAAAATCAGATGATCCGTCCCATTTATACTTGCGGATATCAAAAAGTCGAGTATATTCGTCAGAACCTGCCACTGCAAAGAAATTTGGGTTTCTTGGGTCAATTGCAATTGCATTTAGATGGATGGCTGGCATGTGACTCCTTTTACCATCAAGAGGTTGGCATGTGACAAGTTCTGTGGCAGCCCCAGTCCTCAGATCAAACTGTGAAGTAATAACAAGTCACAATTGTTGTATAACCACACCCAAAAAAAAAAAAAAAAAACCCCTTAAATTTTGAAACAAAAGCACCAGAAACATCACATGGACTTAACATTCAAAATTGCCCAATGGCGAGAGAATCAACGAGCCTTAAGATTTTGAAAATTTTCAAGTCAATGAAATAACAAGAAAAGAATTAGCAAATAATCACAATCTGTTAAGCATCCAATCAAGTTCACTAGATGAAAGGATCTCATCCTCTGAGTACAGATTACCATTTTTAGGCTTGTCCAAGAGTACATAACTTATCTAGTTGAAAGAAACAAAAATTATTAATGTTTATGGCTAGCAAAGGAAATGATAACTCACATGTTGCACCAATCCATCTTCACCACAGGTGTAAAAAATGTGAGGGCTCCCAGGCTCAATTGCCAACTTATGAGAGCGCCCCAGATGTTTGCCCAACAATGAAGTTTTCACTTGTCCTTTATCTGAAATTTGAGCATGTCTCACCTGAAAATATCAAATGCTATTAGAAGTATTTTATTATAAATTATTTTTAAAAAGGGAATATTTCATGGCATGATGCCAATGCTTAACGTTAACAAAGTACCTGCCCATCAGCAGCACAGGTGATAATGCTTCTATCATCGGTATAAGGCATGATCTTTGCTTGGAAAATATTGTTATTATGACCTGAATGGAATGAAAGCTGAACTTTCCCAGTTTCCCAGTTCCATAGGATGACCCGCCTGTCATCAGAGCCTGAAACCAGAATATCACCAGCCGCATTGAAGCTTATAGTGTTCACACATCCTCGATGCTTTTCGAGCTTCCTGTAGAGTTCAAGTCGAAGCACAAGATCCTAAAAGAAAATAACAAACAAAACAAAAACTAATTAAAGCTTTGTCCAATATAAGAAACAAACCACTTCAACTGCATGCATTAACAAACCACACCCAAATTCTCCTCTGTAGATATTTGAACAAGAATTTCATACCCATATGGGCACTACTCAAGAGGCAATCATATGATCTCCACAACCTTCAAAACACATTACACAACCCCACAATAGAATTCTATACTGCAACTCTCAGTACAAAGCAAGAAAGAACCCAACTTTAATCTAGTATCACACAAATATGATCTGAACGACCCAAACGTGAATTTAATATAAGCCAAATTTCACAACTTCATTAACAAATAAATACATAATCCAAAACCCAATACAGGAATTAGCTTATAATTCCAGTTCCACGATCAGAAATCACTCAACCAAAATTTAATCCAGCAAAAACAATTAAATAACAATCAGGGATAAGGTTATCCAGGAAAAGACCTCAGAGCCACCAACACGGTGGGTAAAATTTCTGGCCGAGAGCTCGCCGACCTCGCGCTGCCAAACATTGACGACAGCCTTGCCGATGCTTGTTCGTGGCCTCTTGTTCATCGTCAGAACTCACAGCAGCAACGAAATTGCTCTGATCAGATTGATTGAAGATCGATTGGGACCGAGTTGGGTGTGTGATGACTCAGTGAAATCGGAGCGAATTGATGAATAAAAAAAGCGCGGCTGGGGGATTTGGGGCGGTTATAGAAGAAGGCTCGAGGTGGGCATCCGGGGAAGAGAGAGAGGCCAGAATAGCATTTGGCTCAAACAGTTTGCTTTTGCTCTGAGCAATAAAAAATAAACAAAGAAAACCCCACTGGGCCTGGTTTTATGGCTCTCTCTCCTCTCTCTTCTCTCTCTTCTCTTCTCTCTCCTTCTTCTGTAAACTCCATCGAGTATTTGAGAACGTCCACGTACCTCCAAAAGCCACGAGAAGACACTACCAAATAAAATACTATGCAACTGCATTTGGACACGACATGGTGATGATGACGACGCGCTAATTATTAGGATTTTTTATATGAAATTAATCAGTTTTTTTTTTTTTGAAAAAATAAATAAAAAGAAAAGTGCAATATTGTTTGCCTTTTTATTTATTTTAATTTGGAATTAGTATTGTAGGGCTCTAAGAGCAACTCCACTCATTTGCCCTTAGCCATGGCAATGGGGGAGCTAGGGCAGCCACTATTCACGAGAATAGTAGGTGCCCTTGCAAA